TTTGCCTATTTCGTTTATGAATACATCCTTAAAAAACGCAATAGGAAGTATTGGACACACCCGTTGGTTAGTTCACGGCTGTTAAAAGGGGCGTACGTGACAATGTTTATAGATTTAAGAGAAGATGAAAGTAAATTTTATAATTATTGTCGTATGAGTATACAGTCGTTTGATGAGCTAGCAGCAAAACTGGATGCATCCAACAAAAGTAAAGATTCTGCGATGAGGCTTGCAATACCTCTAGAAATGCTGGTTGTGACTCTGAGCTGTTGCGAGGGTTGCGAAGCACGTGTGCACTGCCCAATGCTTTCACACAGTCTGCTGCTTCGCGGCGATCGGCGAACTCGCTGCTAAGCAGCAGTGGTTGGCGAGCGCAAATTGCTCGCCGCGTCCTCGCGGCGTCACCGCCATAGTGTGCATTGCTCCATTGCTTCACATGTACTGCTAAAACGCGCGAGAAAATGACGCAGCGAGCTCGCGAAAATAACTCGCTCGTGTGCATCGAGCCTAAAGAAGAAGTATCCCTTAAAGTCCAGCGGTTACTGTATGTGCTTCCTGTTTTAACAATATGTAACTCTGCATTTTACACACAGAGTGTATTTAAGGACTTCGTATGATTATCTGAGTAAACAGTGGTTATGTCCTTGAACGTCATTAACCAATAGATACGCGTTGTTTTTTTTTCTAAGTAGCAAATGATTTTTTTTAAATATTACTTAGAAAAGTATGGCTTAAAAGGGTTATAAACATTTTTCAGTCATAAAAAATAAATATTTAACCGGTACATATTTGGTACTATTTTGTTAATTCTACATATTATTTTCCCTTTTGTAGTATTTTTTATAATGAACTTGAAATTTAGTTTTCAGTTTGCTTGTTTGTAAAGAAACAATTTTCCTTTCCACCACTACTGACATCTGTCGTTAATCTTGATAGTTAGTAATTGCCACTTCACGAATATTGTGAACATGTCATTTCCAGGTGAAAATATCAGATAAACATGAGCCGTCCTTTAATCAGTGATGCGTAGTGGTAACTGGTCTAACATTGGCCATCCTTATGGCAATCGAGAGTTGCAATAAAGCTGGGCGCAATTAAACCAGTCGGAGTCTCGTAACGATCAACGATGTTTAAACTAATGGCGGCATAGTCCCTCCTTCCTTCAGCCCAGGCATCGACACTATTACCGACACCAAGTTACTCCCCTAGCGTCTCTTTAACAGAACTCGTTCTTCGTTCAAATTAAATCGGTTAATCATATGACATTGTATGAGGCCTTTAAAGACACTGAAATAACAAGTATCCAGGCCACGTGTCGTTTGCAGGCAGTGTTATCCTTTACACCAAGTGGGTACACAGTAGAGATGTCTCGTCTTTGTGCCACCTATTTTAAAGATCCGTATAACGTGAATCGAAAATTCCGTAAAACGAATACTATGTTAAAGCCCTTCAGAAAAATTACCGCGAGTTGTCACCACAAAACTTGTATCACTCTGAATGCTACCATTAATAGTAACTGCTCGAATCTGTGCACATACTTATTCTGTAAGCTGATATTAATTCTTCAGCTACATTTTGCGACATAAGATTGGCTTCAAAGCGACAAGAAATAGCGAAACAATTACCCATTTAATTATGCCACAAGTAAATTGGCCTTAAAGATGTCCTGACGTCATGTAAGTGGCAGTGAAACTGTTTTAATCAGACTTTAATTTTCATTGGCCAAAGATGTTTAGAGATTTGGAGAGATTTGTACAAAAATATTTCTATTCTGCTGCATGGAGTTGTTACTGAGGTTTACATTAAATATATCCATATATTTTTTTTGATGCTTCTCTGTCGCTCGTAAATCAAACTTCAGTGCTTAATGTACGATCAGTTTTGTCACGTATAAACGACCACAGTAACTCCTTTCGTAGTGGGCATTTTGAATAAAATATAAAATAGCACACGTTAAAAACCCTGTAATAAAAACTGGATTGATACGTCGTGTTTTCATTTAGTCCACTCATTTTCTTACGAAATGATAGCTAGAAGACAATGTAAAAAGGACTATAATTCATGCACAATAAATTCAAATCCATGAATATTCTCCCATTTATATAATAACACTGAAAAATTGTACACAGAGATGTGTTATTTGCAAATCTTGAATGTTCTTACCTGAAATAAAAAAGTCACATAATTTTAAACAACAAAAGTTTTATCATGAATGTAAATAATATAAACGGGCTATGAAAAACCACGAGCGTATCTTTTCAACATAAGATTTAGTAATTGACTGGTTTGCACCGCGAAGTAGGGGCTTCGAAGACCCTATCACTTCTGCTGTAGTACGTATATGCTTCTACGTAGTCGAGCGGAAAACATTTGGGTTCCAAAGATTCTGCCACTCCTCCCATCGTGCCAAGGGTAGCTGTCAACGCTCCAAATTTTCACTCAGAGGGAGGGGTACTTCATAAAACTAGATCGGAAATGGGGTAAGGTTAGGTGTCTTCCTTTTTTGTTTCGGAATTAAACCCAGGCCTCTCTCTACAAACAAACAAAGTTACAAGGCTGTGTTCACAGATTAATAGCACGTCCTTGAGATCAACAACACCCCCTCTTCAGGTCCCACCGTGTTCGCGGTCCTCGGTTTGCCAACCCTTCCCTTAGTCTGACAACACCCTGGACTTACTGTACATGGTTAGTCAAGTTTGGGCTTTCTTACCAACTTGAAGTTAGGGATGTTAAGACCGTTAACCAAACAGTTTCCCATACCGTTGAGACTGGTCTTCGATGTCTCTCCTTGGAACTATCTGTCCTGTGTTTTTTGTTAAGGCCGTTAACCAAACAGTTTCCCAGACCGTTGATCCTTGGAACTATCTGTCCTGTGTTTTTAATTGTCCTCTACCTGGTACTACGAGTCCTAGGCTGTGACCTTCAGGGTCCTCGGATCTCCCGTGGGTTGGGCTCGCCTCCCGTGTTCTTCTGTTCGCCTCGACTTCTCCATTTTTCTCCATCGAAACTTCATGTTATCTCGCTGCTCTTCGATGACTTTCAACGACGTTTTGGGGCTTTGGTTTGGTTCGTCCCTCGATCAACCGATCCGTGGATTTGTCTCCGCTTTTGACCCCCTAATTTATTCTCTCTTTTTCCTACCCCCTGTCGTCACTCCAGGCTCATCTCCCTACTTTTGTTCTCGTGACCCGATTTCCTGCGTTACTGTAGCATGAAACTGCTGAGGTGGGTGTCTGTCGACTTTGACTCAGTCTTGCATGACGAATTTCTGGAGATTATGCTGTACCTCTCTGCTGTTATTACTGCGTTGTTTTACTCAAACTTGACAGCCAATTTAATAGCCTAGGTGTTTACTTTTGTACCTGTTTTTGAGACCATTAAACAAAAGAAACGAGCGAATGCAATTTAAGTTGTGGGTACTCTACCATGGCAACTCGATGAAGCCCTGGACGGTTATTTATAGTCTCCAATCTGGCTTAAAGTGGCATTGACTTTGTGAGCACGCATATCGAACTATCCAAAGAAACATCCTTGAAAGTTCTTCGACTGCCTCTGCACTGCTTCCCGAGATAAGACAAATCCAGAACTTGGGAGTCGTTTCGCTTTAAGTGTCTTAGGCGGACCGACTGGAATCGATGATTATCTAGTGTAAGTGAAGAGACAGATATCGAAGTTTTTAGCATAAAACGAGTTGATCGTACGGCACGGAAGGTGAGCTCAGTTACCGACTGTGACGAACAAAGCGGTAGCTGTGGCGTAGCAAGAATAAACACAAATTTAGTCAAGGAAGTTATTAATTTAAAATAGTAAAAGTAAGAAACCCACATTTCCTCTTAAAGATCCCTCAGTTTAATCGCCAATATAATTACAACGTGCACTCTCCATAGTTTTAATCGAAGTACGTCTTAAACGTTGTCTTATTTCTTTATTGATTAAATTTATTTTGTCGAAACTCACTGTTCGGGGAACAGCATAATTTCAAAGGGTCTTAACTTTTTATTTCAGACTGATAAAGAAATACAGTGTAGCCTGTGATCTATGTAAAAACGTGTATCAACCATTTTTATTTTAGACTGATAAAGGAATACAGTGTAGCCAGTGATCTATGTAAAAACGTGTATCAACCTGTTAATTTTTGAAAGACAATTATTAATATAAGATAACGTCATGTCTTCTCCAGATAATGTTTATATACATAAAAACATATATACACAGATACAAATTGCAGAATGCCAATTTTATGTGTGGTAGCGTACTGGAGTCATGCGCATTTGGCCACAAGATTAAATCCCAGGGAAGTTATTTTTATATTGCACAAAATATTAGAGTACCAGATTTGCATTTTTTAAAGTCAGTTACTCTGTATCATTGTGTGGCCCTATTGTGAGTAGCGCTAATGTCGATTCAACCTCACGAATTTTTTCGTCCATGTTGGAATCAACGCTGTAGGAAATTAAAGAGGACGATTTTAGAGTAGAACTCAATGGCTGAACTTTCACACAAAATGTTATACAACTCCGACCAGCGGTCATCGAGTTGAGATATGCTGATATACAGACACAGTAGGGGCTCTATTGGCGTTCTTTTCGTGGTACAAGGAACGCATAATAATGTCACAGAAACGAATCAGCAACATTATCCACGGAACTTCAGTCTTCCCAGGATGACCAAATATTGTTAAATTTCGCGGGGTCAGCCCTGACTGGGTCGTAAGGTTCGTTCAGTTGAGGCACCAGGGTGGCAGAGTATTTGCTGAGCAACTCTGTGAGCTTCTGTACCACATTGGGGTGTTGGGCGGACAGATCGTTCACCTCGCATGGGTCGACGCTCAGATCGAACAAACAGGGGCCCTTCTCCGGGTTGCAGGGGGTACTGCTAACGGGGCTAGAGCAAGTCACTGTGGCCTGGCTCCTGAGCCGAAGGATGTCGGCTGCAGAAGCGCGGAGCTTCACTGTTGCAAGCGCCAACCCGGCGTCACTCTGCAGCACCTCCTCAGGGTTGTAGGGAGGATCGGTCGTGCCGAGAACGATGTCTCCAGAGTAGCCGTCCAGCCCAGCCCTGTAACCTGAATGGTTAAATATACATAAATCTATACATCCACATTAAAACACATCGACCGTGCTTTTTATTGTGGTGTTTGTCTTGCCAAGAAATTTCCGGTTTACTACTGAGAGGTCCTATCTTGTGTTAAATGAATCCAGACTTCATCATCACAACTTGTTTTTCTTTGTGAATGACTTTAATATTATACACCTTTCCACGCCTTTGTTCGAAGTGGTCTCAATTCTTTCTCAACGTTTTTACGTTACCCGCTCATGAAGGAAATAAAAGAAAGCCATGTCTCACAGTGTAACAAGAAGCCATCTCTGATAACTGCCGTCAAGAAATACATGCACTGTGAATTTCAATATGTGTGGACACTGGACAGAGCAGGTTAGCTCAAACAGCGGTTCATCTGAAGTTCGTAGCTGGAATATTTATTGAAGTACCTGTTATGTTGACAGCGATTTCCAATGTCCCTTGCAAACAAATTCGGAGACAGTAACGTAAAGCGTGCAATGATCGCTTCCTTCCCAATCTTTATTAATATCGGAAGTAATCAACGTCTTCATCCTCATGCTATGAATACATTTTACATTTGATACTTTTAAGTGGCAAACGAAGAAAATGACTGTCTTTTAGGATGTTGTGTCGCTTAGTCCGCCGTGAGAACCTGAAGTCCCGCCTACATGCGAAGAATTAAAAGAAACTTGTTAGTCATCTGCTGGACAGTACCTGTGACGTATTTCCAGTGGCCGATCCTGAGGCCACTGACGTTGTGACGCTCGTCAAGTACGAGAAGCACTTCTTCGCGGCGAGAGGGCGTGTCGTCCACCAGTGCACTCCACTGGTCCACCCCGTCCAGCTGTGCCGATTGCAAGTCATCCAGGTTGCCACCTGCCGCCGTGTACAGAGTTGGTAGCCAGTCGGTTACATGCATTAACTGCGACGACACCCGCGACGTGTTCTTCAGCATTGCACCCCACAGTACTCCCACTCCGCGTACTCCTCCCTCCCACTGGGTCACTTTCACCTTTTACACGTAAAATAGAAGAATTTCGAAAAGTGACCTTTGTATTATGGCCGTGTTAGTGGCAAATTACGATACATCGTGTTCAGATGTCTCACTATAAAGCTTGAATACAGATAGAGGGTCAAGTTTGTATCTTTGTAAACGTTTTTTGTTATCGTAATCAAAACCAATTAGGTGATTACAGGGATAAAACATGCAGATCGATAAATAAGCACAAAATCTTTTCTTTGAGTACATGTACAATATATGTAACGAAAACATTCAAAAACTTTATTAAAGGCGCTGTGAGATACCAATTTTCCTTTTTAGTAACTATGATAAAGAATTTATAATATAATTACCGAAGTCTGATAAAATGTCTGTAAAAGAACTAATTCCTTACACCTACATAAGAGATGCCGTTGTAAAAACACGCTTCTTAGGAGAATTTTTTTTTCCGATTGGTGACATTTCATGTGACATCACTAGGTTTCGGTTAAGATTAGAGAATTTAAACTCCGTTGACATGTTACTCGATATTTGCAATCGATTTAGAGTTTGTTATTTCATGTAAGGAAGCCACTGTTTCCCGTTCTGGGGTTCCGGATGTGCAAGATACAGGTTCGCGTTATGAGGAGCTACGCGCACATACAGCAGCAGTCCCTGGACTTATTTCGAATGAATTTGAAGAATCTGATAAAAACTGTGCGGAGAAACTCAATTGTTCACTCACTCACCATTAAATAAATTCTCCACTTTACCACTAGATTGCAAATCGAGATCTTGCTTCGTAAATTTTTATACTACTTAACTTACGCCACGTAGTGGGTAGTTGGAGCCCCAGTTACGCCAGACCCCGACATTCAGGGTTGGCGCTCCGTTGTCACTCAGGAATACGATGATGGTGTTCTGTAGAATGCCACGGCTCTTCAGTGCAGCGACTACCTTCCCCACAGACTCGTCCAGCTTGGACATCATAGCTGCAGACACAATAGTATTCTGTTGAAAAATGGTAACTCGTAATTTAGAATGTTAGATCAGAACACGATTTCAAAAACTTATCTCAACAAAGAGGTCTTTCTTCCCCAATAAAATATTACCGGAGACCTGCACTGAAGAAAGCAGGAATAAAGAAACATAACGGGGCGGTTGTCATATTCTTCTATATTCTTCTATAATGCTATCTTTCACCTTGGGCATTTTAGGGAACATTTTTCAAGAAGGTGGACTGAGAGAAGGTTCAAAACCTTCGGAACCTTGTCTCAGACCTTACTCCACTTCCAGTTAGCTAGTGTAGTCCATAGTAATGGCATGTCTGATGAAAACCATGGAAATACTACAACAGAAAGAAAGAAAGAAAGGACAAAATGGACAGGGATAAAAACAGACAAGAAGACTGAAAAGAATAATAAAATGATAAAGGAGAGAAAGGTTAGAAGCATGAGAGGTTTAGAGGAAAAGATAATTAAGAATACAAGAAGGAAAGAAACAGAGAAAAATGACAGTTGTCTGTATGTCCAAAATAAACCCTTTTGTGCCACATCCTGCTACTTTTCAACCGTGATTCTGACTTGTTCAGAGTAACAATTTACTATACACAAACTGCTTATTTATTGTCAATTTTAAAGAGTACTGATCGCAATTGCTTCTTTACTTTACAGTCAGACAGCAAGCTTTGAAGGTTTAAGAAATAATTAGTAAATTGAATATAAAGCAGAACGTTAGTTCTTTTTTGGATGTACAGATGGCTATAGTAGTGTAACCGTCCAGACATTAGAGTCCTATGGAGTAACGCTGGAAGGGCGAGCTGGCTGGAATTCCTTAAAACAAAATATCGTTTGTATTAAGTGAGAGAGTAGGCGGGGGGACTCATGTGGTCTCTTGGGGGAGTGAGCCAGCAGCGGCAGTCGTGGAGAGTATCTTGACAGAAGAGGGTTAAAACTTTTGTAAGCTTGTGTTTCAAAGAAATTATATAATAAAGGTACAATTAGATTCACAGTCAATTACTATCTCATCAATACACATTCGATCCCCGTTAACGACCCTGAGTGACCGAGCTAGCTGGAGCAAGAACCGAAGAAGGTGGACGGTTATAGTAGACAATGTGCGTGTGTGTACACAACACACGATTTCCTCATCGTTCATTTTCTTATCACCGCTCGAAACATATTCGAACGGAACGATTTTGAGGTCGTGCAGAATGGCACAACCTCCATACCAAATGTCATCCATTCAGTGGTTCTTAAGTTGAATCGACTAGACGGACAGACACGACCAGCATATAATGAATTCTTGCTATGCACTACGTGCAAAAGACGCATAATAAACGCGTGTGCACAGTATTTCTACGGGATAAACTTTGGATGTCTTTTTTTTATGAACACAAGATTAAAGCATTCGTGTAATTGAACTTCCAACAAAAGGACATTTTATGGTTGGCGTGTTATTTTGAGACATCTAAATTTCAAGCAATTCAAGCGAACAAGGCTACGATTATGAAGATTTCTGTCTTCTGGGTTGTTGCGCCATGTAGTATGGTGGATGTTTACCGTTTACAGTTTCATCGCCCTGCTGACGGAGGCAGTATGACCTCCGAAACGTTGGTAAACATCGACCAGACTACACAGCGCAACAACCCACAAGACAGAAATATTCATACTCACCGCTGTGAAAACCTCAAATCATACAAGGTTACGACTTTTCAGATCGTGCGCCACTATTCTCTCACACCATTTATTTTGTTTCTTGCGGAAATGAGCTGCATTTCACGGAATAATCCAAAGCAGAACTCGAATATTAGCGTCTTAATATCAGAGATTAGCATATAAGAAGAAGCAAGGAAGATTAAGTTAAAGCGTGGGAAGGTAGCGGTCTTCGTCTATTTCAAAGTAACATCCCTAGCTTTACCGAGCAAAGCCAAGAAGTGGTGGATTCATTTCCCCCGTGCCGAGAATCAATCCGGTCTCTTCTGATATAAGTTAGCGTTGGTTCACTGAGGTCGGTACGCGATCTGCAAATGACGAAATATAGTGTCTTGCACTCTCAGTAGGAAACGCACCGGAAAGTGTTTGCAAACTGTACACAACGGAAGACTCATGCTTGCACTCTCAGTAGGAAACGCACCGAAAAGTGTCTGCAAACTGTACACAACGGAAGACTCATTACATGTCAATGTTGGTCTTCTGGGTTCTAACGCCATCTGGACTTGTAGGTACATTCTAACGTTTCGAAGAAACATACTGATTCCTTTCGAAACGTTGATATCTACCTCTAAGTCCATACAAAGTTAGAACCGAGAAGACCAACATCCACATCTTTACCGCCTTGAGAACCACAATCTTGGTATCTTAGCTGCATTACCGGCAAACGTTTTTCGGTTCGGTTCGATGATGTGTCCGAACTTGTCGACGGCATCTTTCGGTGCTTCCAGTAGCTTCCCGATGTTGCCCGAGTGACAGGCGAGATGTGCCAGGTAGAGGAACAGTGGTGAGGAGAGGTCGTGTGTCTCAATGATGTTCACCGCTTCTTCCGTGAAGACATCCGTCGCATAGCGTCCTGATAGGTCCAGAGCGGGCAGCAGGTTGCGGTGGAAATCCACACCGCTCAGTTGGTCACCTCCCGCCCAGTCCTGCAATCACCATGGAAGTACTTTCGCCTTACCAGTGAAACGTTTTAATGATGTTATATGAAAGTTATTTCCACGTACCCTCAATGCCTTGGTATTTTCTCAGGGTGGTTGTCGAATAAAAGTTAGAATTCGAATATTAGCTATATATTTTTTGATATTTTGGTCTTCAGGTCAAAAGAGAAAAAGCGAAAGGTAACGTTGTATTGACTGACCCACTGATTAACTAACAGAACTCATAGTGTAGAGTGTTCTTATTAAGTAGTATGTAGTTTACAACTACCGAACAATTATTCACCGTTTGCAGATCAGGAAATTATATCACTATCCTGCCATTTTACTATATTATGATCACCTTGAATCTAATTTTAGTCAAGTATTCGTATACTTACAATATCAGACTGCGTAATGTTAATGCCTTGTGCCGGAAATGGTTTTACCATTTTGACTGGAATCTACAAGAAACGAAAATATTTCGAAATTAACATCAGATTATCGCTGAGATCACTCAGTATGCCCTTCCAGTTATATTTATATTTTCCCACCTATAAAGACCTGTAATAAACATTTGTCTACTTACCAAGTCTTGGTATACGTGGTCGTAATAGTTCACAAGTCCGTTCCAGTACCCCAGATGGGAGTCAAAGCCACGATAGGTAGGCGTGAACTCTTTCTTGTAGAAGCCGAGATGCCACTTGCCGACAATTCGGGTCGTATAGCCCAAGTCTTTGAGATACTGTGGTAACAGTTTGCCTGGTGGTAGGGCCCGCGGTTCACATCCCGCTATTGGAATACCTTGCATTCCTTTAAAAGTTTAGAGAAATACACTATGAACAAAACAATTCTCATTCTGTAATTCGAATATTTGAGGGGCCGCAGGAGAAATGGCGAAAATGAAAGACCTGAATTCATTACATTTTATCAGAGAGTTGTAAACGATTCTTTCATTTCTGTTGTCAGAAAACATTTTTGGTTACGAGGAGGCCTGTGTTTTGAGAATGTAAAACTCAAATTGTTCACTACAAAAGTGATCAGTGTTTCATAATGAAAAATCTCGTTCGTATCATTTAAATAATCGAGATAATGGTTGCATCCCTGTCAAATAAACACCAACATACTGATAAATATATGTTTTTATATTAGAAAGCTTTGTTAAAATCCGTCGTAATCTTTATCCAACAACTTGGAAATATTTTTACTCACACCCACAATTACATTAATATAAAATGTAGCTTCATAATTCTCATATAACTAGGGATAATTTAATTCAGGGAGTCCACGGGATAGAATTTAAACAGGAAAAGTAATTTCGCAGTTTTGTATGCTTTTATAGATGAATTCTTTATTCTAATACACAAAGCCAGTCGTCGATGTCAGAAAAATTCTTCTATGATGTAGGGTCCAGAAGCAGCTCAACAAGGAACTTATATTTTCCGAAATTACACAACTTTTTTGAAATTTTAATACTATTTTTTGGTGGTTTATTCATTTTAGACGATCCCATTTCACGATAATACGCATTGCGTGGGCGGACGGAAAATCCTCACTCTACCGCGTTTCTTCAGCAAAAGCAGTTTATGCATTTCTCAATCAGCCATTCAGTGCTGTACAAGCTTCCTTGGGCGAGGTATACTGCTGAACAGAGTGCGTGTTTAGTTGAACTATTTCAAATACGAATCTCCCAGAAAATTTCAGAACAAAGTTTCAGGAGAACCAGTTTCAAATAGGCAAGGTATACACTACCTGATCATTAAGTTGAAATCGACATGATCATTGCTGTACAAAACGCTAGATAAACAAACTGTGCTGATGCAGAAGATACGTTGGTGATAGAATTTAAACTTTACGAAAACCATTTCTTAAACGTCTGGCGCGAGCTAGACATTGACTATATTTATGTGGTTAATGTTATGGAATGGTGGTGAACTCTTGTGAAATTGTAATTAACAGCTGGTTTCAATAAAGAGAGCAAGTTTCTTGACCATGTTAAGAATTTATCAGCTTCTCAAGAATATCCCTGATTCATAAATCAGTTTTAGATAATCGCAAGTCCATTTACAATAATTTACATATATATCGGGGGTCACAGTGGGCCGCGTGGTCACTGGGACCGTGGGTTCGAATCCCACTCAAGCCATGGATGTTTGTCCGCGTTTTTCTGTGTTGTCCTGTGTGCAGGTAGAGGCCTTGCGACGGGCCGATCCCTCGTCCAAGGAGTTCTACCAACTGTATGATAGATCAAAGCCAACAAAAGTTGGGACCCGCATTGCTCAGGTACTTGAAGAACGGGTCGTTCCCAGTATCCCCAGTACATATAATCGCACATTATTGCATCACTATGTTCCTAGAGCTTTTATCATGTCAGAAACTTCACTTTAAAATAAATTGAAAATAACTACACTTTGACCATTTCATTGTAAATTAGGTAACATAGGGACTGTAATATTTTGCATTCTTACCCCGCAAGCCTCAGCAGTGTCTGTCAATCTAACCCTGCTTCTACTATTGTTACATAAAGTGATTTAACTGATTGATAAGCCACGTCCTTGGTACATGTATGTACTGAGAAGTCTATAAGTACAGAACTGTAAAGAAACTTTTCTCCTGTTTTTGGATATTATTGCATATTATGCAAGAATCAAAATTTTCAACAGTCTACCATCAAATCTCACAAGTCTTGTAAATAAGAAGGAGCAATTTAAGGTAGCATTAAAAAGATACTTAATTACACACCCCTTTTACTCTGTCAATGAATTTCTTATGTTTACAAATAAGTGATAAATTTTCTTCTGCGTGTAATGGGTAAATCTATTTGAAGCTTATCATTTCTTTAGGTGAACCCTTTGTTATGTATTATGTGAAAATTACATAATAGTATGAATTGTACTTTATAATATGTATTGTATTATTATTATGAGCCGGGATAGCTCAGTCATTATAGTGACTAGCTACGGGCTGAACGACCGGGGTTCGATCCTCGACGGGGGCAGAGGATTTTTCCTCTAGCCTCTGCGTCCAGACCGGCTCTGGGGCCCACCCAGCCTCCTCTACAGACTGTCTTATGGATCCATGGAATAATAAATAAATAAATTATTATTATTATTATTATTATTATAATATTGCTATCATTCAGCATCATCGCCATAAAAATCTGTCACGTTCCCTGTTCTGATTTAGTTACATTCAGTTTGAATTTGTAGTTTTTTTCATAATATTTTCGTGCTCACTTAGGGGCCCCACACATTTTTGCACAATTAGTAGTTTTATAAACTTACTTCTACAGAGCAGCAAAATAATTATTGAAACTTACTTTTCGTATCATAGAAGCCACAGCTTTTCGATGCTTACCTATGTTTGACGGGTACCTGCTGGTGAGGAGGGCGGCCCTCGTGGGAGTGCAGATGGGCTGCACGTAGTGCTGGTTCAGAATAATACCACTATAGGCAAGGGCGTCGATGTTGGGTGTTGGAATCTGGTCGGAGCCATGGAAACCCACGTCGTTCCAACCCTGCAACACGAAATGTTTTGTGGTGGTTCCAGCTGTACTCTAGTCGAAAGTGTGTCTTCCTAATACGTCATTTACTATTTCGCATTGGCCTACGTCACTGACCTGTCCACAGTCACAGTCCAATATACACAACATTGGCATCACTACGACATACAATCATATTAGTGACATGTGACACAACAACGGATGAAGATACAATATGAAGGATGAGAAAATGATAAGAAAAATGAAAACTAAAAATCATTAAAAAATCAGTAAAATTCATTAATTCAGTTAAAAAGTTTATAACATAACACCTGATGATGGCTCTATTGATAGCCGAAACATGTCGTAAATGTTCCACATGTAAATCGAGTACTCGATAAGGAACGAAAAAACATATTTTAATCTTTAATTATCTTATATTGTGATTGACGGCCAATTTTAATATATTTTTAATACTATTTAAATAAATCACAATATGACGCACCTACAATATCTTAGTTTAGTTAATGTACATCTAGAAACAAAGTCATGTGATTTCAAAATACTTAACCACTGGTGAATTACAGTTTTTCGCCGTCAGCTTGGAGGTGAATTTTATCACGAAAAATTTCCTCTTTTTTTTCTGTTGTGTTGCCAAACTTTACTGCAAAACGCCATTCATCACACCATTTACATTTCGCTAGTTCAAGAGGCTGTTATTTAAACATTTACCCAAACCTATCTCTCATACTTATGTAGTTTTCTGAGGCATCAACAAGAATACAAAGACTCTTCCATTTCTCACTGCGACTGACAATGGTGACAAGCCGTCGACACTGTTTATGTCACGCACGATGAATGTAAGGAACGATCCATTTAAAACACAGCACTAGCTGCTGAACATGAGCCTCTCATTCACGAAACCAACTGCAATATTGAATTTTTGCAGTCTTATGCCGTTGTTGCAGCTGACGCAATGTTTCACATAGGCGCGGTCTTAATTTAAGCTGTGTTGTTGTTAGTCAGCACTTGGCACAGGCAAACACTTGATGTGTTCCGAAATGTTATTACCGGTCGGTGCGTTGTTGTCGTATTCGGTGTTTCCTTGTTAGGAAATGCTTCACGAACAGCGGAAAAAGATTTCGACTTGAAGTAACGCTCGAGAAGGAAAGCGCTTTCTGTTTGTTGATGTGCCATGTCTGAACCTGCACAGATGTTGTTCAACTGACTTGAGGAGCGGCCTACCAACAAAGGTGACCTTGAATCGAGTTTAACGGGGCACTACGCGAGTGTTGAGTTGCGTTGTATGTTACAAGCAAAGGGTAACGTTTCGAGTTGTGTACTCGTAGAATGGCAAGGTGTTATATAGAATGCCTCAGAACACAAAGGAAAGTACGGAAGGTTTATTATTTGATTCAATTATTTGATTTCCCAGGCAGTGCAAACCTGTCAAATATCGTGTATAATTCCGGAAAAGTATTAAAGCAATTTTTTTTTTTAAAAATTAAGCGAAATCATATGCCTTTTTTGATAATTACTTATCTCTTGTAAGTCACTGACCATTGTGTTAATAACGAAAATATACATTTAATAAAAGTATATTTGTGTTTCATTTGCGTTTCTTGCATTTATTATCCACGATATAAACTATAATTTATTTTACTAGAAATGAAATGCTTTAATAAAGTTACAACGTTGTACTGCACTTCAGTATAAAATAAATTATATTTGATAAATGAAGATAACACATTTCATACAATGCTTATTAATTTTATGAATGCCTAGACAAAATATATAGTAAACTACACAAAAACTATATATAGCTATTCTTTAAGGTTTTGAGATCATACGAGCCTTGCTTCTATGGAGAATTTTAGCCTTTTATACACACTTAAATGTTTCCTGGTATTCCTTGAATAGGGGGTTATCGTGTTGCAAGACACAGGCCAGTAAAACGCAGAAATATGTCTATACTGATCCATGCTTCGAGACGGATTAGAACTCACGCGGACATTGAATTCTTACACATTTTCCCTAAAATAAACATAAATTGTACAGAGATCTTAATTTTCGTACTTTATTGGTGGTACACGCATAGAAGGAGTGAGTGGTGTTAGGCTTTTCGTGTTGTTTACAACTTACCACGTCATCAGCCAGAATGAACACGATGTGTGGTCTCTCTGATGCTGAATTAGTGTTGGGAGTAAGTAACAGCAGGCCCACAACAAACCAAAACATGTCCTCAGCAACAAACAAATCCTCTCATTAGTCTGAAAACAAAGACATAAAAATGTAGTTGAATATTTTGCGTTGGATAATTACTGCCTTGACGCGCTAGGCGAAACGAACCTAAGAAAGTCGATGGTTTATTGTTTGAGTGGAAGAGTGTTTGATGTTCTCCATATCAGCTATACTAATTAGAAGTTAAATGGAACCGGAATAGCTCTGTTGGTATAAAGACTACACTACGTCGCGCTCTGTGCTTGTCAGTTGTTAGTTCTGCACTGCTTTCTTGATCCTATAGTAAGGAATGGCCACCTTCGGAATTATATATAACAAATATGACTCCTACATTAATTTTGTTAATTTCCTGTTGAAACGGCCCGTTCTCTAGCCTTTCATAGACGGCTTTTTGTTCCATGGACGGATTTTGATGGAATGAAACTGATAAATTTTTGAAGAATAAATTCGGTACAAATGATACATACAGTTAAAAACATTTGTTAAAATAACAATAGGATACTGTCATTGAAAGAAATAGATGACGCTCATGTCAGGCAAACGAAGAGTATTCTATCACGAAACAGCTAAAAATATACGATGTTCAGAACCAGAGTCGATATATAGCCGTGTGTAAAGGATATAAGGGTTTTCAATTTATCTTAAGACAGATGATCATTCTGTATACTCATAAATTATCGCTTGTATTTGTTTGTTTAAGTTAAAATGCGTATTTTATTAATGAAAATTCGATTAAATAATACACATAAAGGAAATTAATTCAATAATGAATTTAATAAAGGAAGTGAATTTCTCTTCACATAATAAAAAAATCGTTTATCCTAGTAGTGGCAATATAAAAAGTGTTTACGTCCAAGTTAAAAAGTTACGGGAAATGTTTTAGTGTTTTTTTTATCTTTCCGTTTAACTTCACAGTGTTTGATAATCTTACATGAGCTCGGAAGTTATTTGGATTCGATTCTAGGCCGAATTATTTTTTAAATTTATCATCTCATAGGTGTATATGATGTTCCCAGAGTAGTCGATAGTCAAATTCTCTCTTATGAAACCGAAAGTTTCATCAAAATTATCACAGAATCCTATTTTGAGGCAAACAGCTACATGTAGTTCACACTTTTGCAACAGATTCCCTCAGTCATCCGAAACGACGTTAACTACCTACAAGACTATAAGATGTCACAGCCCTGAAGGCCAAAATTGACATATTTATTGAAGACACGAGACTTCCAACAAAAGATCTGCATGCCTTTATTCTTTCATTAATTGTATTATCATCTTACATATTTCATGGAGTGGCGAAGGCCTGGTCACTCGTCGCCACAGGAATAATTAAATTGCACGATTTTCAAATAATGTGGTTAGTGTGTTACGGTTACAGTGGCCTCACGTTCTGTTACGTTTCGACCAATCGTGAGTTCGAATTCCGCGCAAGATATGGATGTTTGTCCTCCCCTTTCTGAGTTGTGCTGTCCTGAAAAGGAAGGGGGCTTGTGACGAACTTAACACTCGTGAAGAAAGTCCTGTTAAGTGTCTAAATATCTCAAGAAACCTTCCACATGTGAGGCAGCCAAGGTCCTTCAAGGACTGTAGAGCTATGGAGTACGTTAGTAAGTCTTAGTGTGAATAAAATAAGGATGAACTGGGTTGGAACTCTAGCAACGGGAACCAAGAACCGCGTAAAGAGTTTTGGTTGAAAACTAAAGATTTGGTTTCTGGTAACCAAGTTAAAAGGACTTTAATTCAGCAGCTAACTAGAACACAACCCTACTGCAAGTATCACTTTTTAGTTCTACTTACCAGATGCAGCACAATTCCGTACGTATACACCGATGGGGCAATGTATCCACTTATATAGTGTGTAGATACGAAGCTGTTTTGAGGCTATCACCATCTGTTGGAAACAAACACTTTTATCGGTAACGCGCGTGCAGCGTGATAAAAGGTATTGTGGAGAATGTGTGAGGAGTATAATTAGGAAATGGGGAACTCAGGATTTGACCTCGTTACCCTCATAATGTTGCTAAAATAATCAGAACAAAGTTTTGCGCCGAAAATGCGAAATGAAGACGTCCGTGGGAGATTAAAACTATGTGTAGATAGGTTGAGAGTGTTAAGTGCTTTAAAATCAGAGTGTGATTATGGGTACTGGATTAAGCTAGTTCAGGATGAGGACTAGTAGCGGGTTTGTCTCCTATCAGAAAAAAGAGACGAAAATATACAAAACGATAGTGTATGTTTGTTTTGTATGTAAGGTTGTTTAACTGTCTGAACAAAGAACAAAGTTCAGATGAGAATATCTGTAACTACAGACATAAATTAAGAAGATAATGAAAAAAATTGCATAATAGCAGCTTAATAATTTACAGGCTAGTTTGATTTTACCGAATATTATTACGATCAAAATAAGGAGTATGAGATGGGTGGAATATACACTATACGTCTGAGAGAAATAAGAACTGCATGTAACATTTTGATCGGAAATCCTGATGGTAACAGACCATATGAGAGATCTGTACGTTGATGAGTTAAGAAAAAAAAAGGTTCTTAAATGAAAAACTGTGCGAACTGGATTAGATTTATTTGGCGTAATTGTAATCTCTAGTATTGCGTTTTTATACTGACCCACTACACGCCGTGCAGACGCTTGGGGAGGGGGTCAATGTATAGCTCCCACTCATTCTTGATCGCTGCATTAGATGAGAGTGAGTGATTAGCGTCACACTTTGGCCGTGCTTTACCACCGGGTACCCATTGTATAGGGTGGGTGGACCACAACAGGTTTCAACAAAAATCCTTTACCTCCACCGGGGATCGAATCGCCGTTGTTCAATCCGTAGTCACTTTGTTAACTGAAATACCCATCTCGTTTCATGATTCTTTATGAAATAACAAATAAGCATATTTCTGGTTAAAAATGCTACATGCCGAGCCAATTTTATATATTTGTATTCATCTGTAAATAAACCTCAAGGCGAATGAGAAACACAAATAGCAAAGAAACTGAAAAGTACGCGTACCTCACTTAGCAGTGTGCATTTCCATTCCTCTTAACCTCATTAAGGACTTTGCTTTTATCCCCCTTTCAGACCTACGTCATGTCTACCGGGGAATATGTTGACATCTTCGTATACTTTCATAGGCTCGTGTCTGTTGAATGAGAAATGATTAAAATGAGGGAGACATGGTATGCAATATGCTTCTATAGACGTCCCGCGGTACGTGGATGGTAGCTTTCGTCATCTGCAGTCAGATACGATTACGAAGATATTTATTATTTCGGAACGGCTGGCTAAACGTTCAGGCCCGTAATACGAGTAAGTCAATAGTTCTCAATCTGCAGTTAGAAGCCTCCAAATCTAATCAGTTTAACACGTTTTAATAGTTTTTGCATACAATACGATTACAATTATAATTGGCGCCCACATTTGATGTTAAAATATATGAGGCTTCAAAGTAATTCACAATTGGTAATTCACGATTTAAACTCTTCCGCGAGGACATGTGATTTATTAGAATAGGGTCTCTGGCCCTGTTCTTTGCGCTCGCCGTCGAGAGGTCTTCTCCCTCCCCCCTTTAATTCCGAATTCCTTTTCTGCCCTTTGCTTTCTTCCACTTATTTTCTTTCTTTCGTTTTAAGGATATATGGATGAAATGCTAACGCACCACAAGGTTAACATTAAAATTTGTTTCATCGCCAACCAATCAAAGGGCGGAGTCCTGCGCACGCGCAAGACATCGTCCCTTGCTACATTGCACCATTCTAGCGTAAGAAACGCATTGCTGGAAATGGTAAACAGAGCCTTAGAGATCAGCTGAATGGATTTGTATGAAGTGCTTTTGGAGGCTACTCCATTTGTAGTGTGTTTCCATGATTACCAGACTATATGGAGCGTTCTTCCCACTATTTAACCTGACAAAATTAAAATCGTTGCAAACGTGCTAAAATTGTCAGGATATGCGTGCATATGCAAACTTCTTTTAGAACTGAGTTATATTCAAACATATTCGTCTTCCACGTATGTGTAGTTTCTAATATCTCTCTCTCCCTCCCTGTTTCTAGCGGACAGACACAAAAACGTGACCATTCACCTGAAAATTGGTAAGAGGAAACGTAGGAATATTAAAACACGAAATCGTACATAGGCGATAATTGGAAATAAAATCATTAAACATAAATCTCCAGCCCTGAAATATAAATTCTTCTAGCTATAGTTACAGATACAT